GATAAATAATCTATCTGCAACTTTATGTTACAGCAGATTGTAGCAAAATTACTTCTTTCACAGGCACCAATACTATTGTTGAAAATCAACACACTCTACAGACTAGACTCAGGGATGTTCCGAATGGAATATACCCACTAAATGACTGGCTCATGTCAATTACCAAAGGCAAATACGTACACTTTCAATTATATATAAAAATTAAAATATATTTTGATGAGAAGCAAAAATGTGTAGATATATAGGAATTTAGGCCCATGACTATAACTTTTAGAAACATCCTATCCATTTTATTTAATAGGTGGAGTGATCAGGACAACTACGTTGAGACCACTGCTTACTATATGCCTCCTATAGAAAACATCCCAGCAGGGTACACTCTGCCTTCTTGATATTTTCCAGGAACTCCTCCCCCTGATGCCCCGGGGTCCCAGGCACAACGAAGGATGGGATTTGGTGGTTGGCTATTTCCCAGCCACCCAAGTATCTCGACCCTCCTCACAATTGGTTTTATCTCAGGCACTGCCTATGCATGATTACTAATTATCGATCCCCTGAAGAAGCTATAATTGCGAAACGCGTTGGGATTACTAGGACAATCATGTCAGCTACGCACTTGAATATGGAACACTAAGGGCCATTGGGTTAATTATGTTAGTTATGCAATTAGATTATTTATCTTGGACTATCATACATTTTTATTGTATGTGTACATATATATAAACATGGAAGCTATTGGCCTGAGATTGTACCGAATGGGCATATATTTATTGAATGTTTAATTTATTATATCTAATTTTACCTTTTATTTATTCACAATTTTTTGTATGTCTAATAAATTTTGATCTAATTTTTATACAAGCAATGGTTGTATCTGTCTCTCCACAAATCCTTTTTTCCCTTCTTGTTTTCCCCCTTGTTGTAACTAATGTATTATTATAGGGGGAGAGATAGTACAAGGGGACAGTGTTGAGGCAATCCACAAGTTTTTGTTTTGAGCATTTAAAGATAGAAGCCTTTAATACAAGTGGTCCTTTAAAGCTTGGACCCATCCCTAAGTGCAGTCTACCTGGTCAGATACTTGCCTTTGCCACAGTTCCAGTAATATTCACTGCACAGCCATGCTTAGAGCCACACAGCCTTTCTCCAGACAGTTTCCTTGCAGGACCTCTTCATCCTGCATATGTGCTACACAGCTGCATTTGTATGGGGACCACTACTCATAGTGGCCACCAGTGGTCTTGCAGTGTATGGCTCTCCTCATAGTAATGAATAGGGCTGTGGATAATTCCTTGCTTTCCTTGGTTCTTAGCCCCTTTTGGATTCTGTCCTTTGCAATGTCTGAATTGGTTCTGAGCATTTCCAGATGGAAAGCTGTCAAAATCCCAAATGAAAAGCAGGGTAAATAGCTGATTAAGCAATGCTTGTACTTTATTGGCTGTAGCGGAGGGCAGGGGAGACATTAGAAGTTTAATAGATCCCAGAGGGCTCCATAAAGGGTAACAATAACCTGCCTAATGCTATCACAATCTCACGTTTAGTTAGCTATTTTGTATTGAGATTGAAGTCTATCATGGGTGCAAGCTCAGTGACTTCTTTCCAACACACATAGGGACCATGGGACAAAAGTAGACACCCCTCCAAAAGAAAGGACAGTGTGGGCACCAATTCAAAGATGATTTAAGGAACTACAGCTGAGTGAGACACAAATCAGCTACAATTTTGTAATCGTGTACTTGAATGCATTTTTAAGATTTAACCCCTGAGATTAGGGTCAGTTGAAATAGAGACTTTGTTGATATCTGATCACTTACCACTACTAATGACATTGTGGAGGCTGGGACTTGGAAGTCGCCTGTATGTGCTGAGGCAGCGGGGATCCAAGTAGAAATGGAGCACGGCAGGGAGGGATCGCTGTCATCATGATGGATGAACGGGGTAAAGAGTGCAGAGCCGCTGGCCATTAAATCCAGGATGGCTGAGCGGCTCTTGTCACTTTCAGGATGACTGAGTGGAGGATCAGTAAATATGTGTAATATTTACAGATTCTCTGTGTGCAGCACAAACACTGGAGTGATCACTCCAATATTTGTAAACAACTGGGGACACAGGAAGGCTGAGCAGGAGATTGGTAAATATGTGTAATATATACCGATTCTCTGTGTGCAGCACAAACACTGGAGTGATCGCTGATCACTCCAATGTTTGTAAACAACTGGGGACACATAGTACTATGTGTCCCCAGTTATGAATAAACAGAAAGTGCCTTACATCACTTCCTGTTCATTCATGAGTTTCCTAATGGGTAGAAGCAGCTCAGTACAAAGGCTTCTATTCATTCATAACTGGTTGATAGTAAATATTTGCTATCTCCAGTTTGTGAATGAATGGGATGTATCTGTACTGAGTGCTTTCCATGTATTTAGTGCTGAGGCTGCAGAAAAAGAGATTGAGCACTCTGTGTCCTCAATTTCTTTTTCTATTTTAAAAGGGAGATGTCAGGGTGTGGGGTTTAGACCTCTAATATTTTACCAAAGCCCTCCCAACAACAAAAAATACAAAAATACATTAAAAATCACACACTCATATTATACATGTGCAACAGTGTGCACCATGCACTTTACTTTAGTGAACAGTATGCACTATTTAACATGTAGTCTAGGTTTTGTGTTCTGTTTTTTCTTTTTACTTTCCTAGATGCACTTACTTGAAAAAGGGCCTGTATGACATCCTGACACCTTCTTTTTACAGACTCTATTTTAGTTAGACATTTATTGTTTACAACTTGTTTGCATACTGTTGTTTTATTTAATAAGAATACTTATATTGTGCTTACAAGTTTGATACCTTTGAATACAAGTTTTATTTTTTTCAATCTTTTTAATCTGTTTCTTTGGGGCTTAACAAAATGGGAGGCTATAAATGGTGTGGGTACTAAAGAAATGGGTGTGGTCATTGAGGGGTGTGGTTACTGAGGGGTGTAGTCACTGAGGGGCAGTGTAAAGCTTTCTCGCACTGGCGCCTAAAGGCCTAAGGCTGGTCCTGATGGTCAGAACATGTGAATTATAATGCTGCTCATGTTCTTGATCCTATCCTTTTTTGGGAGGCCACAAAGGCTGAGGGACAAGATTCCTGCATTTGGGACCCCATGCAAGCAGAAGATCCTCGCTAATTATATTTAGCTGTCAATTATATTGTAGCTGTCAGGAGAGCCTATATTAAATATAAACAAGACTTGTCTAATGCCTACAAAAGAGATTGGCTTCAATCTAAACAGGTATGTGACAGCTGGTTCCAACAAACAGACCTCTATATTTGATCTTGGAAATAAGGTAATTCTTTAAAATTGGAAACAAATCCTGTCACTTCTTAGCCAATTTGACAACAGGAAAGAAGCAAGTAACCCATGTCACCTGTCTTTGGAAAGGAGAGGTATGATTCATATTAAGCTCTCATCTATTAATGCTGTCTCCAGACAGTATTATTCCAACCTCTATTTGGCTGAATTTGACAACACCCAAGGAGGCGATGATTTCTGCTTACCTTACCTGAGAGAACCTCACCCCTCTTACTACAGACATCATAGATGAGGAGGTTATAGAGGTCATTAAAAAAGCTAAGGTCACTTTTGAATCATGTTCATATGCACAAAGTCTACTACTATTTCAGATTATTTCCGGTTGTTACCTGAAAAAGATAAGGACTCTTAGGTAGCCAGCACCTACATACTTTATTTTTTTGTTCAACCAAGGTGTCAAACTGTTATCTGAATCACGTATGATCACTTCTTACTTAACTTATCTTGATTTCTCAGTCATAATTTGTGATTGGATGAGCTGCTGTGACAAATGTTTGTAAGCTCATGGTATTAGAAAAATGCCTTTGGTTGTCCCCTTCTCCACATACCATTGCATTGTTAGCCTTGGATTTGGAGAACACCTCTGACAATGTTACATCTTTAGTTCTGGGATTTTGTCTGCCCTTTCCTGGTACACAAAGGCATATACTAGAAGTGCCCTTTGCCCCCTCTCCAATTTAACCCTTTGTGTTATCTTTAAACACTTTTCAGTCCTCCCATGGCCTTCAGTCGACCATTAAAGAATTAAAACTTGAACAATATCTCCACATATGCCACTCACGTCATCCACAGTGTTTTCTCGAGGAATAAGCACTCTAGTGTTTAATCAGTGGCAAAGGAAAGGTATAACATACATACATTATATCTTAACAAGGCAAAATGCTACCATTTCCCACTTTACAACAACAGTTTGCTATTTGGCCCACACAATTCCTACAAAATGCTCAGATAAAACACTTCTTATATTCTAAGATCTGTCTTATTCAGACACTTATGATTAGTATTATGATTATACAAGATTTATATAGCACCAACGGTTTGTGCAGCACTTTACAAAATGGGTGAGACAGTGCAGTTACAATACAATTTAAGTACATAGGATCAAAGGTCATGAGAGCTTACAATCTAGTAGTGATACAAAAGGTAATAATTGTTTAGATTGAGTTAGTGAAGGAAGTAAAAGGACAGTCATGTTTAGGTGGGATAGGTTTGCCTAAAGATGAACAGATTAGGATATAAGCAGACAGATTGGGGTAGGGAGAAGTCTTGGAGGTGAGCATGGGAGGAGGTGACAAGAGCTGGAAAGCAGGAGGTCTTGAGAAGAGTGGAGAGGACGGTTTGGGTGATATTGTGAGAGGAGTTTGAAAATGTAGTTGGGGCAGAGTTGTGGATGACGTATGTTGTTTTTATTATTTTGAATTTTATTCTTTGGGCAATTGGGAGCCAGTGAAGAGATTGGCAGAGAGAGGTGGCAGACACTGAATGGTTGGTAAGATGGAGGAGTCTGGCCGCAGCATTAATAATAGACTGAAAGGGGATAGCCTGTTTAGTGGTAGGCCAACAAGGAGGGAGATACATTAGTTGAGGCAAGAGATTGCAAGGGAGTGAATTGGAAGCTTTGTGGTTTTGTTTATTAAAAGAGGTGATTTATGGCAATGTTACGGAGGTTGAGTCGGCAAGATTTAGATACTGATTGGATATGGGGCTGACAGGAGAGCTCAGAATCAAGGATTACTCCGAGCACCCTGGATTGACGGGGAGGGTGGAGGGGGGCTTAATTGCAGTGCTGTTGATTGTGACAGAGAAGTCTGGGGAGGGAACACAGAGAGGAGGAAATATTATAAGCTCAGTTTTGGACAGATTGAGTTTGAGGTAGTGGTGTGACATCCATGCTAATATCTCAGTGAGTAGATTAGTGATGCGTGAAGAGACAGAGGAAGTGAGCTGAAGAGTGGTGAGAGAGATTTTTATTTCCTCCTGCTCGTGAACCTTCCCCCAACATTTCAGTTGAGATTGATAACACAGTTATCCAACCCTCCCCCCATGCCAAGGTCCTAGGTGTCATCCTTGACTCGGACCTCACCTTTCTTCCCCACATCCAATCACTATCCAAATCTTGCCGCCTTTATTTTAAATATACTATTTTGTTGACCGAAATGCTGGTGATGTATATGCATTGTTATTGTATTGCAAAATAAAGATATACATGCATACAAAAACTCTTCTTAAAAGTTTGGGACTTCTGTGCAAATGTTTTAGACATACTTACCAACTTCACAGGTTTCCTCACTTACAAGAGTTGCTTCAGCTGGGATTGTTACTCTTCATACTCTTATAGAGTGTCTGCATTTGTACATGGATATCTCAGATGGTACAAATAAAGAAGGTGGTCATATATTTATTGAATGCAATATCAACCTATATTTTTTGTATTATTATTTGCATATAATCCTTTCCACCTTCCAAAAGTCCCAATCTTTACTACATACATTACCTTATTTGCCAAATGTTAGTTAGATAACCTGGCACTGTATTTGGTGTAGACCACACCAAATACTCTGCCTTTATTTTCTGCTACTCTCCAACTCACAAACCTTTGTCTAAAATCTATTACAATCTTCCTGTTTTTTTTGTTTTCCTATCTTAATAATACTGTTGACAAGAGTGCAATGTTTCTTGAAGTTTGGTAACATACTTTTAAGATATTTAGTTAATAGTACAGTTCAAAAGTCACACCTCAGAAAGAAAGCAGTGGTTTTCTTGGCATTCCATTGAACTATATTACATGTGTTAACAAGTAGAAACCTTTTTTTTTTACATTGGTACAGTAATGAAGGAAAAGAAAAGCTGGGGTTTTTTAGGCACCTAAATGACAACTTCCAAACCAATGAATTATACAAAATATATATTTATTTGTATTAAATTATTAAGATGGGTGAAATAATTTCATAAAAACAACATGATCGTATAACTCCATTAGATCTTAGAGCTCACTTCATTATTGTTCTATCCTTCATAGATACATGGGTACAACTGACACAATCAAATATAATTCTTGTTATTCACCTGGATATTTTTGTTTACCAATAGTGCACTTTGTCTCATATACTGGTATTTACCATGTATTGTCTGTATTCTATACCTAAATACCTTCAATGACATACTACAGGTGAATATGAATATGATGTACTGTTTGTGAGTATAATATACTCCTAATGATGATCCCCATCCCTATAGGAGGGTTCCACCATCTGGACTTTATTATATCTCGATGGCTCATTATATGTCTCCCCCCTCCCCACCCCTACCCCCGGACCAGTCCCTTTTTGGGGGAGATGGGTATGGACCTCATTCCCTACGAGCAGCACTCCGGGTGCTGCTGTCTCTTTTGAGGCGACTGGCATCTACCTATCTGAGACCGCCATTTGGACCACTGCCTGCCCCTTCAACTTTATATGCTCCTGGGTTGTTGGCCCCCCTTTGTTGTTTCCCTTCGTCTGCTAAACATGACCAACAGTTCTGCAGAGGTGATCGTTAGGACCCTCTGCGATCTATGTGGGAAGCACCTAGTATTATCATTATTCTTGTGCTGCTTAGTGGGGGGCGGATCCATCTCGGTCAGGTGATGACGTTGTTACGTCATCACGGTGGATGCCGTTATAGCGCCCACGTGAGCCTCCAGAGTTAGTGTGCAGCCTGGGGCGGCTATACGGCACGCTGGGGGCTCCAAGGACGGACACCCCTCGGTTTTGGATGGGGGAACCAATTGATTAAGGATCACATTCAATTCATGGTATGAACATCCTTTATATTATGGATCGTGCATGGGACATATGGGACGTACAGTCACTTTGTGACAGTCTCATAGGTATCTAGCTTTGCTGCCATTGTGAGGCTCTGATTATGCCCCTTATCTATCCCTCAAAGGTTACCTTCAATACCACATACCTCCCACTTTTTGCTGCTCTAAGTGGGGTTCATGGTCCTGGCCTTTTTCCCCTCATCTGTTCCGGTGGCTGCGGCTCAGGTGTTGCGGCTGGACGGGGTTGCAGGGATGCACACATATTGACTCACTTGAATGGTAGGTGATATTTTCACCTGAAAAATGTACTACATATTGAGCCAAGATTCTATGTTTTAGATTATGATTATATATGTATATCCTTTTCCAAATTATGTAGATAACTTCCTCCTCCTGAAGAAGCGCCGCCAAGCGCGAAACGTCGAGACAAATCATGATCCTCCACTGTTAGCTATCCTTTCATTGTTAAACCTTGATTCATGTAAAATTTAATTCTCATAATCAGGTTTTTTTGCTATGCTATACTATTCAATCATGTCAATTCTGATAATTGCTTTCAATCATGGTTTCTACTATCATGTACTGTGATTCAATCAATCATGTTACCCATGTTTCTATGAAGGATAGAACAATAATGAAGTGAGCTCTTAGGGAGTTATACAATCATGTTGTTTTTATGAAATTGTTTCACCCATCTTAATAATTTAATACAAATAAATATATATTTTGTATAATTCATTGGTTTGGAAGTTGTCATTTAGGTGCCTAAAAAACCCCAGCTTTTCTTTTCCTTCATTACTTATCTCACAGGGGTGTGGCACCCACTGCCCAGGTCCAAGTCGCCTAATATAAATTCATAACATTGGTACAGATCAGTTTAAAGCTGTTCATGTGTTTATTTCTATTTACATCCCAGGTAAATATTATTTGTAGATCATATCTTTTGAAATGTTCTTGCAATGTAAATGCTTATAAATAAAGCCAAATAAGCCAATTGCATGTAAGTTTGTGTAAGCTTCGTTATATAAAAAAAGCACCACATGCAAACATAGAGTTAAAATAAAGTTATAATTATGCACAAACGCTTTTCACACATATTCTCTATAAATCAACACGTCTACTCTTGTTCTGTCTGGTACAGCTGTTTCTTCCTTTTTAGTATAAGGCTGTTGATGGCACTGTCTAAAACCTGTGAAAGAGGTGGCACAAAAGAGCGAAATCGTTTGGATGAATAAGGAAATGGCAATCAATCAAACGATCAGAAAAAAACACAATGTTTTTAACAATTTATTTCCAAAATGTAGGGTTTTTGTTTTAACACTGGATGTTTTACTCAAGCAACATAGCTGATAAGGAAAAAAAGTTCTATACAGTTTAACAATTCAAAAGAGTACCTAACAAGGAAACAACTTATTGATCCTGAAGACAGGTACCTTCCTGGATCATTTACATTTCTAGATGTTTTTTCTTTATTACTTAATAATACAACCATTTATATTGTGTGATATACTGTAGAGACCTACATCTAACATTATTGTTTAAAACAATCAGTTGCTGTAGAAGTCTGTTAACACAACACAAAGAGAAGGCAATTTGCCTTGTTTTCAATTGGCACAGTACACACACCTGTGCTGCAGTAGCGTATGCTAAAAAGAAGTACAATATGCAGTGGGTTTTTTATCACAGCATGGTGCAAAGCAGTACAACTGAATTACATTGCGACGTGGTTAGTAGAACTCACTTGTGACATTTCAAAAGTTCTAACAATAAATTAAACATTGCGATGTGCCAGGATTGGCAAATCAGCATTGTTCTTTCCAGCACACATCAGCAGCTGTTTATTCTGGTTGTTGTGGAACAGCTCTTACAGTAAAGAAGCGTTTCTTGATGTGAAGCTTTATCCTCTTTTCTTTCAGTTGCCCTGTGTACTTTGTGGTGACATTAACCACTTCAAGACCAGGTGTTTAGACCCCCTTCCTGGCCAGGCCATTTTTCAGTATTCAGCGCTGCGATACTTTGACTGATGTTTATTCCGTCATGCAACGATGTACTGAAATGAATTTTATACAATTTGTTGGGGACAGATAGAGCTTTATTTTGGTGGTATTTAATCACCACTACGGGTTTTATTTTTTACTATATTTAGGAAAAATTACTGAAAATCTTAGGAAACATTTATTATTACCCAGTTTTTTGGTAAAATATAAAAGTCGGGGTCACGGTAAATAGACAACAAACATGTCAAGCTTTAAAATTGCGTGCACCCGCGACATCGTAGAAAACTACCATACCCAAAATTGCCCATAGGCAACACTTTAAAAGCTTTTACCGCTCATCAGTTTAGTGTTATCAGTGATTGATGGCCCTAGACTTATTGCTCTCACTCCGACGTTCGCGGCAATATGTAACATGTGCGGCGTAATGGGCGCAATCGCCTTTTTTGCACGTATGCGCCCCCGGCGCATGTTTGCGTGCGTGTATGTATGGGTGGGGGACTTTAAATTTATTTTTTTAAATTCTTTTTTATGTGTAACTTAAAGTTTGGGGGGGGGACTTTAATTTTTTTTTTCCTTTTTTTTTTTCCTTTTTTTTTTCCACTAAACTTTATTGCTATCACATACGGGGGCTAATAAAACCCACCTATGTGATAGCAAAATATGTGACAGGTCCTCTTTATGGAGACATCAGGGGTCTCCAAGACCCCTAATGTCACCTAGGACCCCCCAAAAGAAGCTGATGAAACACAGATCTGCTCCATCAGCTTATTTGCAGCTTCTGAAGCCTCTGATGCCCTGTTACACAGGCATGGCGCTGATCCCGGGCTCGCACCGGGCACAGCGGAGCCCGGGATCAGCGGGACAATGGCGGGGGGGACGGCGGAGGGGGCACACCGATCGTTGCAACATACAAGCGATCCGCCGGCTCTACAGCCGGCGGATCGCTTGTATGTTAACAGGCAT